GGGTCCCAACAACTATCAATCCAACAGCTAGAACTAAGAAGGATACGCTAAAAATTGATGGATTGACGAGCTCAAAAATAAGCTCAACCAAGCTTATTATTTTGGTTTTTGAGCACTCCGAATCTAGCTAAAATGTGAGAGATAAATGTTTTTGACAAATGTATCACCAGGCCAGGCAGTACGTACCTTGAGCGATATGTGAGACCACCTGGATTGTCTGCAAAGCCCCCTTCAGCCAGCCCCTTCATACATACATATAATCATACATGCATGCATATACACACATACATACACACATATACATACATGCATGCATACATGCATGTAAAGAGTTAGAATGGAATAATTTGGGGCAATTTCCGGTGGAATTTGGGGCTCTTTCTGGTGGAATTTTTTTGATAATTTTTTTTTGAGCATGTTCTTGAGTTCTTCATCAAGTCTGTTTTTTGCCAACCAAATTGCAGCTTAAAGTTCAATCGGGAAGGCAGTTAACTAAATCATTTACAAAAATTGTGTTGTTTATTTATATCGAGCGCAATTTTTGTAAGGAATTTACTTAACTGCTTTCCCAGTTGAAATTTTATCTGAAATTTGGTGGGCATAAATTAGACTTAATGAAGAACATGATCAAAATATCTGATAAAAAAATTCCATAGGGAAGGGCCCCAAATGGCCCCGGCTTGACGGAGGTTCCCGTCAGGCCGACTTGATATGATCTGCGCTTCTTAGAGTAATTTTCGTTGGTATATTATTTTGACACCACTGACATTACATCCTGACTCCGTCCCTGATTACACTTTTTCATACCTAGACTTCTCCAGGTCTCGTATAGGCTTCAAATGCTTGAACCTTGACCTGGATTATTTCTCAAAACCCAAATCCTTTAGAAGATTTGTTATACATCGTATTTCAAAGATCCTCCTCAAAAAGTATTTGAGTTGATTCGCTTTTAAATAGGTTGATTAATAGCAAATTCAAGCTCAAACAACGACTTCTATGTTGTTTTCAGTAGTCGACAAACTAATTGTAGTGCTTATGTTCTAGCTAAGGCATCTTCTAGTTATGCTTACAAGAATTTTCTAATTATGCCACATTGTGTCACGAATAATGTTAATTATGATTAAATGAATTCATGTTTTATGGTAAAATAAGAAAAGCAAATTCAAGCTACACTAAATTTTTTACTATAAGTTCATAATATTAGTTTGAAATTATAAGTATTAATGAGTGAACAAGACATTAAGTTACAAAATGTTCTTATAAAATGAAGGAAATGAAATTTATATGTAGAGAAGTCTTCATTAAATATATTAGTAGTATTATATCAAAACTCTCTATCTACTGCACACGGGTCCAAATTGAACTAAACTGCATTTCTAATGTTTAAACTTGTGTACACCATTTCTTGAGTACATCTTATGTTCTCCAATTCTGGGGAAGACTTAAGTGTGAAAATGTATATATTTCATTATTTAGATGTTGTTCGTATTCTAAATGTCATAACTTTTGAATGAAATGAATTTATAGGTTTCACGATATATCAAATCAAGGTGTTTCAACTTTCTATCTACTAAGAGGGTGGACGTCAGGGCCGGTCCTGATATTTTATGGGCCCGGGGCGATTGAAAAAAGAATGCCCTTAAAAGGTTATATAAATATATTGCAAAAGCTTAACTTTATATACGCAAATTTCAACATACAATGTAATGTAAGTCTTTCATCAAAGTCTTAATATATAAACTAAACGAATAAAAATTATATTAAAAAATAAAAAATAAAATCAGAGAATTACTTGTGAAATTGAAATTTCAAATTTGGAAAATATTTTTGAGAAAAGTAAGAGAGTGTTGATTGCTGAGCAAAACGAATTAAAGTCCAAAGATGAAACCTTGAAATTAGGCCTGCCTAACGGGAAATGATGTCAGACCGGGGCCATTTGAGGCCCTTCCCGATAGAATTTTTTCATGAAATTTTTTAAATATATTCTTCATGAAATCTATAATATCTCCACAAAGTTTCAGATTAAAATTCAACCTGAAAGTCAGTTAAATAAATTATTGAAAGATAGTGCGCATTATTTATATACACAAAGCGCAGTGTGTTTCAATATTTTATTTAACTGAATTCCCGGTTGATTTTTAAACTAAAATTTGGTGAATGTAATTTACACTTGATGAAAAATACTCTAAAAAGGTTTCATAAAAAAATTCCTCCATAAAGGGCCCCAAATGACCTCGGTCTGATATGAATTGTCCTCTCTATATTTATTCATTTATATATAATTATGGGCCCCTGTAAATGTTGGGCCCGGGGCACAAGCCCGGCCTGCCCTTGTCCAGGGCCGGCCCTGGTGGACGTCTCTACGTTTGTTTTTGGAACATTCTTCTAAACCTAAACCTATTATAGTATATGTTCTTGTCTGGGCATCTCTACGTTACTCATTATGATCATTTGATTGATGATTCTATGATTGTCTTTGCTATTAACTTTGATGTGTCGGTTGTGCACCCGGTCAGATGTCATTAACTCTGCCCCCTCTCATGGGGTGGACATCTCTGTGTTGGTGACTTGAATTGTTAGTTGGTAATTCTAGAGCAGTATTTGTATGTTAATAAATTTAATACAAGTCATTTTCATTCTGAAAGGAAATAAAAACAATTATATTCTTGAATTATATAATATAAGAATAATGGACATATCAAACATACATACATGTCCAAATACATACTTTGAGGTGCATATGTTCTTCAATATATAGCTAACATATATTTATGTGTCATATATAGTTCAAAAGCATACTCGATTAAACTTCACTATTTTTGTGCTTCATTATTTAAAGAAGAAATAAACAACCTATTTAATTAAAACGTTGAAATTGACTATATCAACAAGATTTTCTGAAGTTCAAATTGGCTGAATCTTATGAAAACTATATACAAAATTCATTCTTTTAATAGAATAAAGAAAACTCATTTGAAAAATATCAAATAGTCATCAAAATCAACCAATTCAATTAGAAAAGTAAATTTAGTCTTAACTTATTTTGATTATTACAAAATTCATTTGTTAAATCAAAAGTTTATTCTTATAGTAAAAGAATTGTGGATAAGTAAAAAATAGAGGTCAAAATGTATATATTTGTTTTGTAATATGTTTATGTTTGGCATGACTAGTTGAAAAATATTTTTGAGAGCTTTAGCAATGTTCGGTATAGGCATTTCAGCTCAAAATGGGTTGAATTCTCTAACATTCATCCTATTATTCAACAAATATTGGTGTTTGGAGAAAGATTTGAAATGAGTGATAGTAAACTGGTATGAGTGAGTTGAATCGAAATGTTAATAAAATCAACGTTATAAAAAAGACTGCTAAATCACACCTAGGATCCATCACTGTTGCGAGCGCTCACCTTCCAGCTTCACGTCACAAAGTCACCTGGAAGCCGCGACCGACCGGTGTTCTCAAAGGCTGGAAGCAAGGCACATCCAATACATAGTAGTGAGGGCACGGTCCTGATTCAAAACAGCTAGTGAAGAGGAAGAGAGTAGAGTTGTGAATCAAGTTGAGGAGGTGTGGTGGCTTGTGATACTGAACAACAACGGACAAGGACGTCATCGTTTGGGTTTCCTTGAGTGAGATTCACAACCTTAGTTGACCCCTAATCCAACCTAATGTTGGAGTGCGATATTATGAGTTTCTTTGGGGGAGACTCATTAGATCTAATTAAGTTCAACTCGATTTAGACATGGTTACATATCAATTAATTGTCCTGGACTATAAAATTTGAGTTCATTTTGATCTGAAATGACCATTCAAACATAACATTAATTATCGTTTGTATAATAAGTTGTTATGACTAGTTAAACTATAAACTACATATACTAGTATATCTTAAAAGATACTCAATGTAGTTTTTTACAAAAATTTAGATGATAAAACATCACTTAAAAGTTGTTACACAAAATCACACAATTATGCGTTTTTAGAGACTTGCTTACAAATTGAGCATTTATGCTTACTAAGAATATCTCTAATGGTTACAATTAGAGGCTTGATTGCAATTTTAAAAAATATTAAACTACCAGCCTACTATTGGAATATATTTTTCTCATAGTTCAGACAAACAAACTAGGTAATACAAGCTACTTACTATAATAGAAAAAAATTTGAACTAAAATAGTAGCTTCCAAATATATTTAATTTATCGAGTAATGAATATTTTAAATTAATTTAAATCCAATCGTAGAACTATAGTATTGTAATGCAACGTTAAAACCCTCTCACTTGGTTTGCCAATTTTATAAAATGCTTAATTTTCTCATAAAACAATTAAAGTTGATATTTTTCAGTTTCTGTGTGTTGTTAATATTTCATTTTTTTAACTCAACAAAATATCAATAGTACTTCCTAATTTAAAAGTGTGTCAAAATAAGTAATATTTTTATTGTATTACAATATTAATTCATTAAAAATGTATATTTTTAATTTTGGTTGCTTTGTGATGCCTATTAAGGAGGTGAGCATTATTGTTAACAATTTGAGTATCACATTACTAAAAAAAAATGGGTGTTTGGAACTGATTCTGCTTCTACTTCTTTTTTAAAGTAGAATCAGAATCAGAATCAGTTTTCAGAAGCTGGTACCCCCCATCTTCTAAAAAAACTGATTCTGGGAGTAAATTAGAGCACCAGAAGTGCTTCTGGAATTTCACCCAAACACTTCAACTTTTGCTTCTGTTCCCTGAAAGAGCAGAATCAGTTTTGAGAATCAGATCCAAACACTCCCTATAACTAGCTAAAAAAACTAGCTATGAGAGATGCTCCAATGTGTAGCACCCAAGGAATATTGCATCAGTAAACCGTGTGAACTAATTAAATTGATAGTCTTTTCTCAAAATAAAAAATAAAAAATAGATGGTCTATTCCGTAATACAGTAATTCTTATTGCAGTTATTTTTCCCCTTTAAAATAACAAGAAAATTCTGGCAAACTGCCAAACCACTTTAACGCTTACCCCCAAAATTAGCGACTCTGCAATGGCGGAATAGACCAGTTGTAAAAAAGCATCGATCTTTTTGACTCCACATGTTTTCTATTTGACATAGTTAGGTTTAATTTGGAAACAATTCTAGATATCATTACACAAACGCACAGAGAAGGCATCCCTGCCTGTGCACGTTTGGAGAAGAAGATGAAGACGTCTTTGAAGACATTGCGGGGATTGGCGGCACTGAAGCACGAGAGAAGAGAACGTAAGATTCGGTCGTTGACTCAAGAGGATGAATTAGCTCAAGCTACACAGGTTTTTGTGGATTAATTTCCCTCTCTTTGTTTATTTTCGTTTATCTACTTGAAGGTTTCTCTCTTTTGGTTTCAACCTCGTAATCGGGTTCAATTTTTTCGTAGTTTCAACTCGAAAATGGCACTTTAGAAAGTTTTTTCTGATTTCCTATTGTTTTCTACATAATTTGTATTTCACTTCTATTATGAAGGTGTAATTACTCTAACTCCAGAAATGAGATTTACAGTGAAACGACACGAGGTTTCTCTGATTTCTTTTTTCGTAAAGCTGGTTTAATTGGATCAACTTACCGCACATTTGATTTCTCAAATTGCATAATTTATCTCTCAATCTAGGAGAGTATGTTCTCTTTAGATGCTAGTCTTGCTTTTTTCATGGCATAAAACCCTATCAAGACTATCATGGCTACTTTGATAAACCATGTGGAAGCTTAGAAGCTAACTGTTAAAAGTTGAAAATCTAAAGCTAATTAATATGGTTTAAGTGTTTGGTAATAATCTTATCAGCTGTTGTGCATAAAAAATATCAATGTGGAGTTAAAGCCTTGGTAGAAATGGATAAACTGTGTTTATTAACTGGTTTAATAGAAAGCTATAGGGGACAAAATCTAAAATAAACTCTTACTGCAACCTCAAAAACATTTTACTAAGAGAAGCCTGTATCTTACTTAATCCTTAAAATGAGCTATATGCTCTATTCCAAGTTCTTCCTGACAGAACCCATGCAAAGTTTATAAAGAACAGTTAGTAGAATCTCTCCCTCCATATTGCTGCTTTTTTAAAAACAGCTGAGAGAGGATTGCTTTGAGCCCATGAAGCACACACACACATATATGGTTGTACAATAAGCTCTGAATGTCTCCTGTTAGGACTTAGGAGAAACTCTTATAGATCTATTCCGAGTCATCTAGTGTGGGGATGATCTGGCTCATTTTTTCTGTGAACAACTTCGATTGATTGTATATATCTACATGATGTGTTGAACCAGACGTTATTGATTTCACCTGAAAATGGTGTATAGCGCTACTGTTCTTAAAAAGAGGTGCATGTTTTCTTCAGGATATGGTAGACATGAGGGACTGCTATGATAGATTACTTTCTGCTGCTGCTGCAACAGTAAACAGTGTATATGGTATTTATTAAATTTATCGTATCATTCTATTTTCTCATGCTGTTCAAATGTGCTTTACTGATGAAAAAGTAAATGCAAGAATAATAACTATACATCTACCTGTACTAAGACCGCGATGTGTATTTTATCCCATTATATGCCTATGTTCTTGGGTTTAGCTTACTTTTTTATTATTGTAGTCAAGTACTCTAGAGGTGGTGGGATCGAGAGGTCATGGCTTCAAGTCTTGGGAGTGGCCTCTTGGTAAAATTACAAGGGAAGAATTGCTCCCCTATACACGCTTGTAGTGGGATCCTTCCCCAGACCCTCGCTTTGTGGGGATGCCAATGTGCACCGGGCTGCCTTTTTTCTTAGTCAAGTACTCTAGACTCTAGAGTTCATTTCCACAAAAAACTCTGGGGTTTTCTTCTCTGGTAGAAATTTCTGCAAACTGAAAAACATTATTATTTTTGCATGTGGGTCATTTGCCAAGTTTTATAATGTTCTATGAAAAATGTGCACATGATTTTATTTTTCTAAAGCTAGATGAGATGAAAAACTCTTGGTATAGAAGATTGAAATATGAGGATCTTTTCTCCTGAAAAACACGAAAAACAGTTCTTCTCATGAATCATGAAGCTTAAGCTTGGTCCAAACAAGTGCTATACCTGGATGTAAGTATTGATTGCATGTTCAGCATTGATGCAACCAACACTGACATGAAAAAAGAACTATCTGATAACGGTTTTCTGGAATTAGTTCCCTTGCACATAGGCCACTAATTAGTTCATTTCAACAATTCAATGAATAAAATAGGTAATGTCATAATGCCATACAGAATGCGTTTTACAGTTTGATAAGATGAAAAACTCTTGGTATAGAGTATAGACTAATAGAAGATTGAAATATGAGGATCTTTTCTCTTGAAAATCACGAAAAGCATTTCTTCTCATGCATCATGAAGCTCAAGCTTGAATAAGATTGAGGATATTTGATTAAGATTTGTTATTTAGTTCAAATATGTTTACATGTATGCATTTTCCATCATTTTCAATGGAGCCAAAGACTCGCTATTTTTTGGCTTGGGATTTGGGTATATGATGAAATAAAGCAAAATGATTCACTAATCTGTCTGTGCTTCTTTGGTATGAAGTAGTAGTGAGTCCAAGCAATTTTCGACGCGATTTTCATCATGAGTCATCTTGAAACAGTCTCTTTGTGGTTTAGTACAGGGGTAAGGTTGCGTACATCCGACCCCCTTACCCCACCGTAGGTGGGAGCCTTTGCGGCACTGGGGTAATGTTGAATGTTTACATGTATGCATGTGTTATAACTTATGAGATCTTTTTCATGTTTACATGTATCATGTATGCATGCGTTATAACTTATAACATCTTTTTATGTTTACATGTATGCATCATTTTACTGCAAAATAATCCTATCATTTGGATGCTTGAGAGCAGTTTTACTTTGTTTTGCCAGAGTCCAGCTCTTTAATTGGTGGTTCGGTATATATCATTCATATAATCGTATGCATATTTATTTCTATTGATGAATCTTGCGTTCTCTACTATCTTTAAAGTTTATACTTACACTTTGAAAGGGTTCTCATTATTATTTTTTATGTATTGAGATTTAACCTAGCTTTTATTGTTTTATCTATAAACACATGTCACCCCTGTTATTGAATGCTCATTCTTGCTTTGTCTCTGACATAAAATGAGAAGCTTAAGTTAGGGATGTTTTTTATTTTGCTTACATCTTTCACCAATCTTGTTTTTTAGTGCCGTGTTATTCTTTCAATCTTTTGTTCCCATTTTGGTGGAAATTGTCATAATAGACAAGTTTTTTTCTTCTTCCAGAATTTTCAGAGTCACTGCGCGAAATGGGTGATTGTCTTCTTGAAAAGACATCATTGAGTGATGATGAAGAAACTGGTAATAAGTCCTATCATGATAATTGTTTTGGATGGCATACAGATGTGTATGCTCATATGAATTTTGTTCACCACGTCCACATGTAGGAATGAGATCTAATAGTCAGTCAACTTGTAATTGAATAAATAGTTTCTCAATTAAAGTGCTCATATAAAGCGGCAATAAGTGCTTGTTGGGATTAAGCTGGGTAGGTGGGGATTTTCACAACATTGGATTACATGCACTTTTTTATTTATAATTTTCTCCAGGCTGAATTATTTATTTTACTTTCTAGGTAAAGCGTTACTCAAGCTTGGTAAAGTCCAGTTTCAGCTCCAGAAACTTGTAGATACTTATGTGAGTAGTCCTTGTATAAATTATTTTGTATTTCTCTAATTTTTTTATTTTCCCTTGTAATGCAATAGCGCTTTTCTGTTTTCAGCGTTCACATATTAACCAGACAATTACAGTCCCATCTGAGTCCCTTCTCTCTGAACTACACATTGTTGAGGTTTGTCTGTGTAAACCTCATTTTATCTAACATAATGAGCTGTCAAAATATATCATCTCTAGTTTGCAAATTTAATTTCTTGTTTGTTAGTTTGTTTGTTTGTTTTTTATGCTTTGAAAATGTCTTCAGCAGTCTATGTTTTTTTGCAGGACATGAAGAGACAGTGTGACGAAAAAAGGTAACAAACTAGAGAAATTAACTCTTATGTGTGAGATTATAATCTATTTATATTTATTCTGAATCTTGCTTATGGATTATCAGAGAAATCTATGATCAATTGATCCAAAAGCATACAGAAAAGGGGGGGAAGCTGAGAGGAGCCAAAGGGGAGCACTTTTCTTCTCAGCAACTGAAAGCAGCTTATGATGAATATGATGAGGGAGCAAATGTTTTTGTATTTCGTATGAAGTCTCTCCGTCAAGGACAATCCCGCAGTCTTCTTACACAAGCTGCTCGGCACCATGCTGCTCAGGTTCCTTTTTATGTTACACTAAAGATTGTTTACCCCTTTCAGTTTTCAACATCACGGAAAAATACTTGTACGGCCCCACAGCATGTTTCTCTTTTAAATTGATTGGATGAGAATTACAATGCACATTCTATGATGTGCCAAGCAGATTTCGCTCTTCCGGAAGGCTCTGAAATGTCTTGAGGAGGTTGAGCCGCATGTCAAGTCGGTCACTGAGCAGCAACATATTGATTACCACTTTAGCGGGCTTGAAGATGATATCAAGGATGATGACGCTGTAAATGATGGTGATGATGATGTTGATGACCATGAATCTAATGGGGAATCTGAATCACATGATGGGGAATTGAGTTTTGATCGCGTTCAAGGTGAACTTGAATATGTATCCACCAACCCTATGGAGGTAAGACTTCTTTCTAGGTTTTTACTGCTATGGAACATCCTCAACATTTATTAGTACTTGGAACTTGGAAGACAATGTACATGACTGAACAGTTATGGTGGCTGTTGTCAAGGGGCTGGTTGTACCATGAATTGTTGAAAAGGCTATAGATTACAAATAAAAAATGTGATTAAAACTGCTATCCGGATGAAGCTCATATGATATGATGTTCCATTTATTTGCTGATGTAAGGATCAGGGTGAGCTTTGTTTCCCTAGGAGGTGCTGAATTTTGTTTCTTTACAGCTTGTTTGGTTGGGAAGTTTCGAGGAGGATGGAATGTGAATGGTGATTTTTTAAAATTAATGTAGTCATACATTAAGAGGGCTTAAATGAAATGAAAATGAATGTAGTCATACATTAAGAAGGAAATCACCCCCCAAATCACTCAACCAAAAAAGGGCTTAAGCTGTACTCTGGTGTGTTTGGGGGAAGAACAATGTTGAATACTACAAATAAGCCTCTATATTATTGATAAATAAGATGTATTTTACATTTCTAATTTTCTTATAGATTCCATTTAGGAATATGGAGAGTAGCAACATTTAGGACTTCTTGAAACTTGCACATAGTTTCACTGTACTATAGAAATCATGGAATGGACTTATGTTTCAAAATTTTGGGAACAAACTTACATTAGTACAGTGTCAAATGGTTGAATGAATGCTGAACGATAAAATTTTATTTGTATTTTTTGCAGTTGGATAACACGGATGTTACATTTCCTCATGTTGCGAGGTCTGAGTTAGCAAAGGTAAATACATTTATGATCTTTTCATGTGCAAATTGTAGCCTCTTGCAGTCATGCTCTTTCTTTATGCTTGAATAGATTTGTTGGTTTGTTTAATTTCATACAGGTAAAATTTGTATCTTGGGGTTGGAAAATGTATTCTTCCATCATTTGCAATGGAGCCAAAGATTCATTATTTTTTGGCTTGAGAATATGATGGAATAAAGAAAAATGGCTCTCTAAACTGTCTGCTGTTCTGTGTTATGAAGCAGCCGTCAGTCCATGCAATTTTGGACGCGATTTTCACTATTGGTCATCCGGAAACAGTCTCTCTGTGCTTTAGTACAGGGGTAAGACTGCGTACATCTGACCCCCCCTTACCCCACCGTAGGTGGGAGCCTTTGTGGCACTGGGGTAAATGAAAATGAAAATGAAAATGATGGGGTTGGAATATGTATGTGTCATATAAGAATTTGGGGTTAAGGATAATGCTTAATGTTGTTGATAGTAAAATGTCCATTAAGCGTGAACGAGTAGAACTCTTGCTCCTTCTGGCTCCCATATCTTATGAGACTGACTTTTCCATATTAGCTTTATTAGCTGAATGGGGCTGATGACTGAAAAAAAGTGTTGAAGTTTGTTTTAAATGGATTAGTTGAAATAATATAAATGACACTCCTGCCCTCATCGTACAGTTATTATTTCATTTAAGTTATTTAATAAATACATTTCTTAGACAAACATTTATTTTTGTTACACCAAACTCAGTCAATTGAGCCATTTCAACATGTTTTTATCCCAAGCTGCTGCTTCATGTCGAAATGGCATCTTTGCCACCTTAGTTGAGGACTAGAACTAGAGAGAATGTGTCTTCACACTCCATATTTCATCTTTGTGGGACAAAGTCTCTCGAAATAAAATGGTGTTTCATATCAAATAAATCAATATTTGAATGATGCCGCCTTTTGACCCTTCTGTTGCTACAATGCATTGACTACCTTTATAATCCTTTTTGTTTCAACAATCCTAGCCGTCCCCAACTCTGCATAGGACATGAGCTAATATCTTGTTTTCCTATGAATAAATATTGACAGGAGACTATAGAGATTGGTCGAAAGTCGTTTGGCTTGCGCAGAGAGACTCATGTAATCAGCCAATCTGCTCCACTCCTTGCTGAATCAAAACTTGAACGGTCCTTGCAAAAGGGCGCCTCACCCTCATACAAGATTTACTCCTATGTGTTACCCACACCAGTAGAGACTAATAAGGTCCGATTTTCAAATTTCGAAGCTCCTTCACAGCCAAGGCGAACCAGCCTGGAGAGTAGAGATACCTTATATCATTCATCTCCTTTGGATCAGAACAAGTACGAAAAAGCCCGACGATCTGAGAAGTTTTCCGCCAGTGGGCCTTTCGTTTCTTCTTTGTCAGCATCAGATGCTAAAAAGGCCAAAAGGCAAGCCTTTTCTGGTCCATTGACTGGAAAGCCATGGCCAAACAATCCCCGTGTTTCTACCAGCGGTCCTATAGGTCCGAAAGGATATCCTCCCCAATTCTCTGCGCCCCTCTTGCGACCTTTACCCCATCCTTCAACTCCTAAATTGGGTTTACAGGCTTCTCCTCCTCGATTATCATCTCCCAAGATTAGCGAGCTACATGAATTGCCTAGGCCTCCACCATCCTCCTCCACGTCCACCAGACCCTTACCCCATGAAGTTGCTCATTCCGGCCCTTTGCCATCCAGAGTTTCTCCTCCAGTTGCATCCACACTTCCGATGCCCCCTCTGGATCTCCATCGTAGTTACTCTATACCTTCCACAAGCCAGATCGGAACATCAAGTGTGCCTAAGGCGTCAAAGGATTATAATTTGACTCCAATAACCTTGTCAAGTAGTGTAGAGCATCCTCCATCCCCAGAGACGTGATCTTTCTTCCCAAGTAAAGGTGGTAAGTGATAACTAACAGTTCCATATGTTTTCCCCTTTGGCTGTGTCTTTTCTCTGATTTTTTGGGTATTTGGACAGGGATGCATTCTGGGAGACTTGGTGCTCATGTAAGGATGTTTTTTATCTTTATTTTTATTTGTAACCAGGTACAAGTGCAGTTTTGCAATGTTGTAAATATGGTTTGTTATCTACTTAGAGGATTTATTCATGGGGTAAATCTCTCTACTTGTGTCCTAAATGTTTCGGGTTTGAATCAAGTGGAAGACTGGGTACAATTGTGTTTTTGAGTACTTTCCTTCAGGTGTAGCTTTGTGGTAAAGATCAAAGGGTTTCATGTATTTAGGTGGTAAACCTGAGTTAAACCCCTTCTTCCACCGCACTCCAACAGATGTAATTTAGAAGAATAAAAATCTAGTCTTTTTTATTTTCCATTCTACTCCTGCTAGTCTTTGCTTTTGCTTTTCATATTTGAGTTACAAGGCGCCAAATAGGACTGCAGAGTTGCCAACAGCAGAAAATTTTGCTCACTACCAGAATTTCAATCACCATCTTCATTAGCTTCTTATATTCTCTTCTCCTTTATCTGTTGACACTTGATAATCAATGTTGAAAGCAGTTGAAATCGTACAGATCAAACCAACTTTTAGTTACCGTTTAGACTGTTTGGGCTTATCACTTGAATTTTTGCCAAATTTTAATTTATTTAACTGTGCATGTTGAGTTTACCTAAGATATGATAATTTTAGCCTTTGTTTTTCTGTTTCCATTTTACATGAAAAGATAGAAGTGATAATAATTATAATCGCCCTTGGTAACGCTGAATTGAATTATGATTACAACTTACAAGTTAAAATAGTTGAATTACAATTGTGTTGATTGAATTTTGCTGAAACATGGAAACATAATATATAAAACATATATTAATTTGTCATTTTAGAAAGTTCTTAATATTAATATAAAAAAAATTCATACTGTTTTGATTATCTGAACATTGTAGGTAGAAATATGTTTTCTAAGTTTATTACGGAGTATATAATTTCCAGTTTTTCCATATTTTATACTTCACGTGTAAGAGTATTCAACATTCGGAATAGAAACTTTTAAATGGCTGCATTCCCTTTGTACAAACTTTAAGACTCGTTGAGCAACTATTTTTATTTAGTTTATAGAAATCACTTGATCAGTCAACAGTCAACACAACAGCCTGGCAAAACCTTTAAATGGCTGCATCTTCTGGCAAGAAATTATTTTTGGTGTTGATAAGTGGGGAAAGGGTGAAATAACTCAAAAAGCTGAGGTGGAACCTACTAAAAAATTATTGAAACAAAAAGGGAAGATGGGCTCCTGCAAATTTGAGCGGCTACAATTGGTCCACACAATACAAAGTGTGGCTAGGACTATTCAATGACAAGAGTATACCTTCATGACACAAGACTACTTTGATATCTAATACAGAAAGAGTAATAGAGTTGTTGGGGTTTAAGAATGACTTTTGAATCTCAGTTTAGGTGTTGCTTTTATGCCATTAAATTAAATTGAATTATGGCCTTTACAAATCAAGGTGGGTTAATAGGCTGACGCAATTGTACAAAAACAAGATGCTATGAAATCCACATGCCAGCAACTTCTTTAGAATGTTTAATTAATAGTAAAACTATGTACCAATCTTTAGAATGTTTAATTAATAGTAAAGCTATGTACCAATCTTTAGAATGTTTAATTAATAGTAAAACCATGTACGAAGATGCTAGTATGCTCCGTCATCAATTCATCATCGTGATTACCCCAATGTTGCAAAGACTCCCACCTATAGTAGAGTAAGGGGGAGTGAGATGTACGCAGTCTTGCTCCTGTGCTAAAGCACAAATAGACCGTTTCTGGATGATCAATAGTGAAAATCGTGTCGAAAATTATATGGACTGACTGTTTCTTCATAACAAAGAAGCGCATACAATTTGATGAGTCATTTTACTTTATTCCATCATATTCTCAAGTCAAAAAGGAGCGAGTCTATGGCACCATTTCAAATGATGGACAGAAGATGCTAGTATGCTACCATGAAGAAAAGTTGGGAAAGTTATCTTTTGCGGATATGGGAGCAATTTATAGTGTTTGAAGTTTTTTCTTTAATTATTTATTTTGCACATGGATTTGAAATGGGAGCTGTCTTTTTTTTTTTAATTACATAAACCAAAGAATCCTTGCACATGTATCGGAGAGCCAATCCGCAGCTCCAAAATGTAGCCATCACGTATGGTAATGAAGTAAAAAATTGTGTAACTAAGACTTGTACCGATGAGAGAAGTGACTTTAATCACATATTTACACCCTATCCATTCATCTTTTTTGTTACTTACAAATTATGAAATATAATCACAAATTGTAGTATCTTTTTAGAAGCATAATCCTATAATGTACGCAATTTCATGTTATAGATGACAGTAATGACACAACATACATTTAAGTTACATGGGAAAGTGGTGTAACCCAATGGATGACCATCTACCCTAAGTCTTTTCATGATCCCCCTACCTTCACAGAGTAGCTCAACTGTTGAGAAGGGAGAGGGTAGTAATGAAGACAATAGGTTCGTGTGGTGGGAGACGCAATTTATAAGGGTCATGCATGTGAGTTTTGCTGGATTCATTATTTGGAGTTAGTACCAATGAAGTTGACTGTGATCAAATTCAAATTTACATGTTTAAGGGTTTTGAAAAGTATTTCACAAACTTCAAGATTATGAGTGTAAGCACAACGTGAATTTTTAAAAAAATACAAATATTCTCATCTTAAAAAAAATGACTGAGATAATAAAGAAGGGTGGAGGTAGCACCCTTTGAATCCACCAAGCTCCACCTCTCTCAATCTCGATGGAGTTGTAGAGGTAACATCCTTTGAATCCACCAAGCTCCACCTCTCTCAATCTCGATGGAGTTGTATCTTTGTATATACTACGTACAATCTAAATGGGTTTGGATTCAACCTTTATGGATTGTGGGGATATGCTAATATTGTTCAAGTTGCAATGCTTTTTAGAAGTTAGAACGATAATTCCCTTATATCTTAAAGACTTGAACATACTCAAAAGTTCACGTTAATCTATATAAATTATGATCTCGTTTGTTACATCTGTTTTCAGGTTATTAATTTGATTACTCGTTTTTATTACAAAACACTTAACTTTTATGTCATGTGTTGGATTATGTAAAAATTAAAATAAATAAAGTAAACATTAATTTTATGGCTCAATTGGCAGAATTTATAGAAGAAAACAATTTTGACCATTATAATACAAAGTATTTTGTATTAATATAATATATTTTGCATATAATTTTTTTCATAATTTAGTAAAATTAGTCAATTCAGTATAATTTTTTAACCAAGCATTCCAGCTCAGCTGATTGTGAGGTTATCGTGCCTAATGAGAGGTTTTGAGTTTGAATCCCGCTAGGCACATAAGGGCTTGAAATTCAATGGAGTCAGTTTCAGCCCAGATTACTCCAGGTTCCACCAGTCCCCCTCCCCCAGACCCCCTAGAGAAGAAAAAAAGTCAATTCAATGTTTTCAACCATAATTTCACAAGTTTCAAGTGTTGATTCATCAACCCATTTCCACAAATTTTAAGAGTTGATTCATCAACCCATTTCAATCATCAAATAAGCTCTATATTGATCGGTTTGATCATTTAGTTTTATCATATTGAATTGTTGTTTATTAAACTTGAAATTAGTCAAAGCTACCAGATTCCTTTCATCCATAAAAACTATTTTGGTAATTTAAATACATGCTTGCCGCATGCGGTTCACGAATTATGATTTTTTTTTTTATTTTGCGTATTAAATAAATTACTCCTAATTGATGAGATAACAAAATTAATGTTTAGGCTGAATTAAATTTAGTGTGAATGTTTAGGCTGAATGTTTATCTCAATTAGGCTGAATATTACGATAAAATCTAATTTAAATGCTACTCAATTGTATTCGGATATAGTTCGTGTATTTCACCTTCTTTATTAGACTTTTTTATTCAACTGTGACGTTTTTTTCTTGCTAAATGACTTTTGCTTGTTAGAGTTTTTCTTTTTTTGCTAACGATTAATAGATGAATTGAATGAATCAAGCCATTATGACACTAACTACTCTAATACCGTTCCTACCAAAAGAATATGTTAGCAGCAAATTTGTTCTTGAAACGATTTGAAAAAAGTACTACGTATAACCGATCGAAGTTCATACAAAATCAAGAAGCCCTGCTGGGATTCTAAAATGGGTCGAGATTTATTTAAAAAATGTGCAAGTTTATTTGGATACATCGGAAATAACAAGAGAAACTTATAATTCGTGACCTCCTTTCAATCAACATTGAAGCTTCCTCCAAGCTTCAACCCACATTCTTCTAACTTCTTACTACATATAGTTCTGGTACTATAAATAGAGAAACTTGTAACGCTTCATATTATCATCATAGCATGACCAAAAAGAGTTGTGAATATGAGACATTTTAAGAGTTTTTTTTATTAGAGTTTGTATGTATCTTAATTCTGTTTTTGAAAGTAATAAAAATGTTTTTCTTACATATTAACTCGGTTCTTCTATTCCGAACAATTTGGTTGGGTGATGTAATTGGATCGTTTGAATTTACACTCAAGTAAACAATCCAAACTCCCAAAGTAACTTGTTCTCTTTACTTTGCTTATTTTGTTAATAACTTGAGCAACTTGTTCGATTGGTACGGTGCCTAATTGAGATAAACAAATTATAACAAGCGATAAATTAAGAACCTAATTGATAGTCTCAGATCATCTACATAGCGCTAAAATCTATTAATTCTGCTACAGTTAATGAAGAAATTGAGACTTTTATGGAGAAATGTATATTCAAAATATGTTTTATAAAAAAAATCTCAAGAAAAAGCTGTAATTGTCCTTTGCAAAATTGTTCCATAAAACCAACGGTAGTCTTACTCATTTTGATAATAATTACTCGTACAATTTAGCGAGTGAAATAAAAAATGATTTTTAGTTAAAAGACTGGTAAAAAATGTTACTATAATAAATAGGCATTTTGACCTTTTTTTTGAAAGGAAAAAATATATATTGGAATATCAAAAGTATTAACTATGAAAATTAGGCAAAAATGGCACCCATAAAAGCCCAATGACTATGATTTTAACTTTGTAACTCATCAATGAGTCTATAGAGTCTTTCAAACATGTGAAGAATACGTCAATCTTCCTGCTCCTATTAATTAAAGTAGTAGAGCCCTTCTACTAATTTAAAACTTTTTTTTTGCAAATAACTAATTTAAAACTTACTCACAAAAATGATAGAATAATGGAATAAAAAAATGCGGGAAATAAAGCAAGACCGCGAAAACGGCACCAATCGAAAAAGTTGCTCAACTTTAACAAAATAAGGAAAGTAAAGAGAACAAGTTGCTTTGCGAATTTGGATTGCTTATTTGAATGTAAATTCGAACGATCCAATTATCTCACCCAATCCAATTGTTGGGAATAAAAGACCAAGTTAAAAACACTTTTATTACTTTC